GCCCAGCAGCCACAGGAGCTCACCTCTGGCCATGTGCAGGATGAGCACGGAGCTGGGGCAGGGTGTGGGGAGCAGGAATTGCAGTCCTGGAGCTTCCTGGAGAGGAAAAGCCCTTCCTGGGCAGGAAATGGAGAGAGGTGGAGAGAGAGAAACCTCCTCTCCTTTATCAAACACCTTTGTAGGCTGGGAAGCCAAGGAAGCCCTGGGCATGAGGAGCTGGTTTTTAGCATCCTCATCCCAGAATTCCAGCAGGGAAGGGAGCTGGGGTTGCTCTGAGGGTGGGCAAGGGCAGGGCTGGGTGTCCCCAGGTGCAGTCCCAGCAGGAAGGGACAGAGCCTGACCTGTCCCCGCTGTGTGTCACAGGGGACCTGCCCAAGCAGGTGAAGGTGAAGAAACTGGCCAAGCTGAAGACCCTGGACACCAAACCAGGTGGGTCCAGGCCTCAGGAATCCTTCAGGCCTGACCCTCCCCTTGGGGATTTGGCAGCAGGGAGCCGTGTCCATTTCTGACTCCCGATTTTTCCTGATGCCATGTTTTTCCCATCCAGGCATCTACACTTCCTATAAAACATTCCTGCACAAAGACAAAACCCTGATAAAAAGGCTGCTGAAGGTAAGCACCTCCCACTCTGTCCTGGTGGGAAGCTGCCAGGAGCTGGGTTTGAGCAGACACAGCTCTCCAAAGGAGCAGAACTTACACTTTGGGGTGGTTTAGGCCATACTGGGACACCTTCACCATGCCAGGTTTAGGATTTTCCACTTGATATCGAGGATTAAATCCTGGTGCTAACAATAAACTGAGTGGGAATAACTGATATTAAAAAAAACAAAACAGGTTTTGCATAGTGGAACTTGAAATTTTAAAGTGTTTAAGTAGAGGGTGGAATCTGTGCTATGGGATCTGGATTTGGGGAATCTGGATTTGGGATGTGGATTTGGGGATGTGGAGTTTGGGATGTGGATTTGGGGATCTGGAGTCTGGGATCTGGAGTTTGGGATGTGGAGTTTAGGGGTCTGGATTTGGGATCTGGAGTTTGGGCAGCACTTCAGGCTCCCGTGGCTACAGAGCTGCAGGTTGTGTGTGGCAGTGAGGGGACACCTGGGTGACCTGGCTGTGACCCTGGGTGACCCCAGGTGACCCAGCTGTGCTGTGGGTGACCCAGCTGTGCCCTGGGTGACCCAGCTGTGCCCCGGGTGACCCTGTGTGCCCCAGTTGACCCCGGGTGACCCCGCGTGTCCCGCAGGGCATCCAGCGGAAGCGCCCCTCGGAGGTGCAGAGTGCTCTGCTGAGGAGGCACCTCCTGGAGCTCACCCAGAGCTTCATCATCCCTCTGGTGAGTGCAGGGACACCTCGGGGGACGGGGGGGAGCAGCAGACCCCGGAGCAGGGAACCCTGGAGTGGCTGGGTGGGAAGGACCTTTAAACTCATCCCATGCCCACCTCCCACCGTCCCCAGGTGCTCCAAACCCCAGTGTCCACCTGGCCTTGGGCACTGCCAGGGACCCAGGGGCAGCCCCAGCTGCTCTGGGCACCACAAGAGACTCCTCAGCTGTAAGTTATTATTTTTATCTTTCCTTGTTTCAGGAGCATTACATGGCCAGCCTGATGCCTCTGCAGAGGGCCATCACTCCGTGGAAGGTAGGATGCACTTCCCAGTCCTCCGTCCCTTCAGTGCTCACAGGGTGCTGGGCACACTCCTGGGAACCTCCCCTGTTGAAGGAAGAGGGGCTTTACTCCTTTAAAAATTAATTAAAAATTTGGAAGAATTCTTGGGACAGATATTCCCAGTTTTGCCAGGAGCTGAATTACTGGGAATCTCATGTGAGGATCACCCTTGGGGTGTTTTTATCCTCAGTGCCTTGGGCACCTTTCCCACAGGAAGCGCAGCCCTCATTTCCCTGCTTTCATTTGGGATTCTGTGATGTGGATTTCTGTGGGCTAACGTGGATTTCCCTGTGCAGAATCCCCCCCAGATCCGCCCGTTCTGCCAGGAGGATTTCATGAAGAGCCTGGAGCACGCCGGCCCCCAGCTCACCTGTGTGCTCAAGGGGGACTGGCTGGGGCTCTACAGGTGAGAATCCTGATCCCACCCAGCTGGGCCAGTCCCACGGGCAGCAGACCCTGCATCAGCACTGGGACCTGCAGAACTCATCCATGGATTAACTCAGGGAGAGCAAATCCAGCCCTGGGGTTCCTGTGTTTTAAATGGAGATCCTGCAGGGGGGTTGGTCAAGGGTTTTCCTGGATAACTGGTTCTGAATGGGATGGAGAAGACACTTGGTGCAATAGGAGTGAGAAAAATCCAGATGTTTGATACCCAAGGAAAGAAAATGGGAAATGCAGAGAGATAGAGAATGAAAAAATCCCAGAAAGTGATCAGAAGCAGTAACTATAGAGTTATGGAATGGGTTTGGGTGGGAAGGGACCTCAGAGCCCCTGCAGGGACACCTGCCACTGTCCCAGGCTGCTCCAGCCCCAGTGTCCAGCCTGGGATGCAGGAGCAGCCTCAGCTGCTCTGGGAACCTGTGCCCGTGTCCTGGTGTGTCCCCTTGACCCCTTCCCAGGGTCACCTCAGGCAGCTGTGGGACACAGGGTGGGGTTGGTGGATGGGATCGTCCCTGTGGGTCCCTGGCAGCTCCAGGACCCCAGAACTCACAACTGCTGACCTCTCCACAGGCGATTCTTCAAGTCCCCCAACTTCGACGGCTGGTTCCGGCAGCGGCACCGCGAGATGACCCAGAAGCTCGAGGCCCTGCACCTGGAGGCCATCTGTGAGGCGGTGGGTGACAGGGACAGGGACAAGGACAGGGCTGGCCCAGGGACAGGGCAGTGTCTGTGAGGCGGTGGGTGACAGGGACAGGGACAAGGACAGGGCTGGCACAGGGACAGGGCAGTGTCTGTGAGGCGGTGGGTGACAGGGACAGGGCTGTGTTCACTCAGAGGTGAGGAGAAGGGTCCAGGGAGAGCTCAGAGCCCCTGGCAGGGCCTGAAAGGGGCTCCAGGAGAGCTGCAGAGGGACTGGGGACAAGGGATGGACAGGACACAGGGAATGGCTCCCAGTGCCAGAGGGCAGCCATGGATGGGATCTTGGCCATGAGGAATTCCTGGCTGGGCTGGAATTGCCAGAGCAGCTGGGGCTGCCCCTGCATCCCTGCAGTGCCCAAGGCCAGGCTGGACACTGGGGCTGGAGCAGCCTGGCACAGTGGCAGTGTCCCTGCCATGGTTGCACTGCAGGGGCTCTGTCGCTGTTTCAGGAATGAGGATGAGAAACCCCCTGCTCACCTTCAGCCTTTCCTTAGGGGAATCCCCTGGGAAGTGTCCCTGAGGGAAGCCACTCTCTCCTTAGGACATCGTGGCCTGGATGAAGGACAAGTCCGAGGTGGAGATCGTGGACCTGGTGCTGAAGCTGCGGGAGAAGCTGGTGAGTGCCTCCCTCCCCCTGCACTCCTTCCTCTCTCTGGCTGGAGGGAAATCCAGGACACAGATCACACCTGTGCCTTGGAAAACCTTGCTCTCCCTCCCTGGAGGGCTGGGAAGCTCACTGAAGTTCGCCGTTTGTGTGAAATCCTCAGAGCTGGGAGGATCCAGGGAAGTTCTTCCCCTCCCGAGGCTCAGGTGCTGTTTCCTGCCTGTTTTTATCCTGAGCTGCAGCAGGCAGGGCCCGGGCAGAGGGGAAGGGCCCCTGGAATGTGTTAATTCCCATTTCCCCGCAGGTGAGGGCTCGCTGCCAGCACCTGCCCGTGAAGGAGGAGACCCTGCACAGGGTGGCTCTCTACATCGACACCATCATCGGCTCGCTGCCCGAGGACCTCCAGACTGTGCTGCACCACCCCTGAGGGGGGCTCCTGCAGCGGGAGAGCCTTCCCAGCCCGTCCCGGCCCGCTCCCAGCCGCGGGGCAGCCCTGCCCGGATCCGGGATCCCGCTGGGAGCCGGGCGCTGCTCCCGGAGCTGGGCTGGGGCTGGCCCTGCTGGGAATTGGCCCCTGGGTGGCACCGGCGGGGCAGGAGGGACCCCAGCGCTGCGGGCACTTCGTCCTTATCGGGATCCTCGGCATTCCCGCAGCCCCATCCCGGCCGGGAGAGGCAGGAGCAGCCCTGCGGGGGGCTGTGCTCAGCGCAGCTCCCGAGCACGGGGAGGAGGTGACAATAGCGTCCCTGCCCCTGCTGCAGGGTGACAATAGCGTCCCTGCCCCTGGACAGCCCGGGCAGCAGGAGGAGGAATTGCTGGACGTGGACGGTTGCTGCTCTGCTCCTCCAGGGCAGAGCCAGAGGAGGGGCTGGAGCATCCGCAGGGATCAGAGCTCCCCGGCGTGCCCGGCATGGCTGCTGGGAGGAGCTGGCCCCAAATCCTGTTTATTCTGCTTGAAAACCCAGCCTGAGCTCCAGGGACACAGCAGGGCTGGGGCTCTGCCCGAGGCACCTGGAGAGCTCCTGGCAGCCCCTTCCCAATAAAACCTGGAGAAGTTGATTTCTGCAGCCTGTGCCGAGCTGGAACGGGCCCTGCTGCTCTGCCCCTGCCTCCAGAGCAGCTCCTGTGCCTGGGATCCCCTTCCTGCCTTGGGAATGGATTGGCTGGGACCAGGGCATCGGTATTCCAGAACTGCATTGCACCACTAGGGGGTCCATCCAGGGATTTTTATCCTAAATAAAGGGTTTGGGAGGGATGTGGCAGCCTGGAGGGGTCAAACCCAGCACCTGTGCAGGTGGTAGGATTGTTGGGTTGTTCCTGCCCATTCTCAGGGCCGGGGGGTTCAGGGGGGTCTGACCTCTTCCTGAATTTCCCCTCTGGAGCCAGGCAGGAGCTGCTGGGTCTCTCTGTGCCCCTGGCCCTGCTGGAGTAAGGAGTTCTGAGCAATATCCTTTGGGGTGGTGTAAATCCTGACATATCCCAGCTGTGTCCGTGCAGGCCCCAAACCCTCCTGTAAAGTAGGAAATCTTAGTTAAAAAAAAAAAAAAAGCTGGAGCCAAACTGGGTCCTGGTTTGGAGGCTGGGGAGGTTTATTGGGTTGGGAAGGGTTGTCCCTGCTCTTGGTCACTCGTGGCCATCCTGGTTTTCCAGAGGGCTCACAGCACCTGTGGGTGGCTGTGTGTCCCTCTGCTCTTCCCAAGGCACGGAATCACAGTTTGGGTTGGAAAAACCTTGGAGGTGTCCCTGCCAGGGCAGGGTGGCACTCGAGGGGCTCTGAGGTCCCTTCCCACCCAGCCATTCCAGGATTTCCTGAGCTGCTGGGAATGTGCAGAACCCGCCGGGGCTTTGGGCAGCCCCCAGGGAACGGGATGAGGTGGGAGCAGCTCCCAGGGAATGGGATGAGGTGGGAGCTCAGGGAACAGCCCCCAGGGAATCGTCGTAGAAAGCCTTGAGCCCCCCGGGGCTCTGCAGGGAGAGGCTCCGGGCCAGCACCTCCCGTCGGAAGTTCTCCCTCATCCAGCCGTAGACCAGACTGTGCAGGAAGCCCTGCAGGGACACGCTCAGGGCCTGGGGGACACAGGGACAGAGGGTCAGGGCTCCCGGTCCCTGCAGGCACAGCCCAGGCAGGGTGGCACAGGACACGGGGGGACTTTCCTCTTGGTGTGGCCAATTCAAGCACATCCAGCCCGCGGGAAGAGCCAAGCTGTGAATTCCCAACCCAAAATCCGGTGGGAAGAGCCACGCTGGGCCCGGGGCCGTGTCCTCACCCTGCCCGGGGTGTCCCCAAGGGCTGTCACAGCTCCCACGTGGGATGGGGACAAACGTCCAGCCTGCGAGCCCTGGAAAAGGGGCTTTACTCACTGTGGACACATAGAGGACAAAGAGCGAGGCAGGGCTGATGCTGGTGAAGGAGAGGATGGCGAGGAGGAAGGCTGTGGGTGGGACACAGAGGGACATTCCTTGGTGGGACACCCCCACTGTGACCCTGCAGGGCTCGGGGTGCTGGGGACACCCCCCCGGGCTTGCCTGGCGTCCAGCAGAGCAGGAAAACCAGCTGGAAGTAGAGCGAGGCTTTGCCGACGCTGCGGCCGCTCCTGCCCCCGAAGCCGCCGTCCCCGGCCGGGCTCAGCAGCGGCAGCGCCGCGTTCCCCCGGCAGCGGAGCCGCACCCGCCGGTACAGGAGCTGGGGGCGAGCGGGGGTCAGCGGGGCGCTGGGGACCCCCCGTTCCTCCCCCAGAGCCGGGACCTCACCGAGCAGCAGCCGAGCACCAGCAGCAGGTACAGCAGCAAGACGATTTTCTCCTCCAGCCCCGCGTTATTGTCCCCGCCGGACTGGGAGGCAACGGGGAATGAGCGGGGCCGGGCCAGCGACCCCCGCGGCCCCGGAGCCCCCCGGCCCCGCAGGAGGGTGGGGGGCGGCAGCGCCCACCTGGGAGCACATGTCCCGGTTCGGGTGGATCAGGAGGAGGCAGCTGCAAGGACAGAGCGGTGCTGCAGGTCCCGAAGCTCCCCCGGCGTCGCGGGGGCTGCAGCGATGCCCCGGGCAGGGCGGGGGCCGTACCTGGAGCAGTAAAGGCTGAAGGTGTCGTTGGAGCCGGCCCAGGGCACCACGGGCGCGATGGCGGCGGCGGAGGGGCCGCGGGCGAGCAGCTGAGCCAGGAGCGTCAGCGCCGGCAGCAGCCTGGGGAAGGGACGGGAGCGCCGGGAGAGCCCCGGGAAGGGACGGGAGCGCCGGGAGAGCCCCGGGCCGGGGAAGGGACGGGAGCGCCGGGAGAGCCCCGGGAAGGGACGGGAAGGGACGGGAGCGCCGTGAGAGCCCCGGGAAGGGACGGGAAGGGAAGGGACGGGAGCACCGTGAGAGCCCCGGGCCGGGACGGGGAAGGGACGGGAGCGCCGTGAGAGCCCCGGGAAGGGACGGGAAGGGAAGGGAGCGCCGTGAGAGCCCCGAGCCGGGGAAGGGACGGGAGCGCCGTGAGAGCCCCGGGAAGGGACGGGAAGGGACGGGAGCGCCGGGAGAGCCCCGGGAAGGGACGGGAAGGGACGGGAGCGCCGTGAGAGCCCCGGGCCAGCCCTCGGTTGGACACCTACCAGGCCAGCACGTAGGGAATTCCCTGCCAGGCGCTCTCCAGGCAGCGGCTCCGCTCCTGCGGGAGAACCGCCGTGAGCCGGGGCTGGGGGGGCGGCCGCAGCCGAGGGTCCCCACCGCTCCGCCAGGACCGGGGGGACCCCGAATTCCCGGCAAAGGGACTGCCCCGGACCGCTGCTCCCTTGGCCAGCGCGATTCCCGGCTGTGCCCGGGCGAGGCACGGACCTGCAGCGCTGCCGGGGGCCGGGCTCGCCCCCCGAGGACGGTGCGGTGCGACTCGTACGCGTAAACAACGACCATGAGGAAGGAGACGGCGTAGGAGGTCTGGGAGACAGGGGGAGAGGAGAGGGAAAGGGCCCGGGGATCCTGCTGGGTCCAGCGCCGCCAGGGCACCTTCCACCTTCCCTCTGCCCCCCATTGCCCCTGCCCGTTCCCTCCTCGTGCTCCGCACCCCGGCAGACCTGTCCCGGTGCCCACCCCGAGGAGGGGACCCCAGGTCAGTGTCCCCAGGACTCTCCAGCCGCAGACAGGGCGCAGCTGTCCCCAGCAGAGTCCCCTTACCGTGGTCAGCATCCGCCCGTAGGGACAGGCGGCGTAGGCGGGCGCGGAGAGCGGGGCCGGCAGCAGCGGGATGGTTCCCGTGCCCAGCAGCGCGGTGGCACCCAGGAAATCTGCCAGGGCCAGGAGGAACAGGGGGCGCAGCTGGGGACAGGGCACCGCGTTAGCTCTGCCGGCAGCAGCCCCCGAGAGCTCCCGCGGCCCTTCCCGGGCTGGACCCGGCAGCTCCCGGGGGCCGGGGCGAGTGCCGGGTGTTGGGCATCCTGCACCTCCTGACCCCCGCCCGGGGCTTTAAACCCGGTGGTGGCTCTGGCTCGGGCTTAGCTGGGGCCAGACCCAGCCCTGTGTCCCTGGGAGCCGGTGGCACTCACCTGGATGTGGCAGCAGTGACACACTGCCACAAGCTGGTGGCACTCACCTGGATGTGGCAGCAGCGGCCCTGCCAGGAGGTGACAGCGAGGACGGATCCGCTGCCCAGGAGGCTGCAGGGGACGGGGCGGGTGATGAATGTCCCGGCAGAGCCGCTGCCACCCCCAGGTGCCAGCCCAGGGCGGGGGACAGGGACAGGACCCACCTGAGCAGCGCGGCCGGGAGGGTGACGCCCGTCAGCACCAGGACCTGCGGGAGGCACGGGGGGAGCGGAGCCCCCACGGGGAGGGGGATGTGAGACCCTGGGCACGGCCGGACTCTGTCCCTCGGCCATTCCTGGCCGAAGCCGTGCCCAGGAACCGCAGCAAAGGCGTTTCGGGGGCTCCTCAGCCGCCCCTCGGCGGCGGCTGCACGTGGCGGGGCTTCCCCGCTTCTTCCTCCCGAGTTTTCCCGCTGGGATCTCCTCCCAAGTTTCCCTCACCCGGGGCTGGGGAGCGCCGAGAAGCCGCGTCCCGCCCGTGGCCGCGCTGGGAGCGGCTCCCGACGGCGCCTCGGGAGCGGAGCCGGGCCCGGGAGTCCGCCGGGAAGAGCGGGGCAGGAGCCGGGGAAGAGCCGCTGCGGGCCCGGGGATAGCCCTGCCCGGCTGCCACCCTCCCTCGCCGGTGGGCAAAGCACCGGCCCAGCTCCCGCGCGGGGGGAGCTCCCTCGGCAGGGTGTGTTGGAGTGGGAACGCAGCGCTCAGTGAGCCTCTCCCGGCCCTCCGGAGCGCCCCGCACGCCTTTACCTGGACATCCGAGAGAGCCGGGGGCTGCTCCTGCGCTTTGGCCATGGCCGGAGCCCGGAGCCTTCCCGGCCGCAGCCCGGGATGGATGGAACGGAACGGAAGCGGCTCCCGCTGCTGGCCGGGCTCGCCCCACGCCCGGCTGTGGGACACAGCCGGAGGAACCTGCCCGGCCGGAGGAACCTTCCCAGAGCAGCAGCGGCGCCGGGCCAGCCCCCGGAGCGGCGAGGGATCAGCCCCAGGCACGGGAGAGCCCAAAGGAGAGCTCGGATGGCCCCGGGCACACCGGGAATAAGGGAACAGCGCCGGGAGAGCAGCCGGGAGCTCCTTCTGCTGCTGGAGAGAGCCCAGAGGAGACCCCGGAGCTGCTCCAGGGTGGAGCCCCTCAGCTCCCAGGGATCCAGGCTGGGAGAGCTGGGGGTGCTCACCTGGAGAGGAGAAGGCTCCAGGGAGAGCTCAGAGCCCTGGCGGGGCCTGAAGGGGCTCCAGGAGAGCTGCAGAGGGACTGGGGACAAGGGATGGACAGGACACAGGGAATGGCTCCCAGTGCCAGAGGGCAGCCATGGATGGCATCTTGGCCATGAGGAATTCCTGGCTGGGCTGGAATTGCCAGAGCAGCTGGGGCTGCCCCTGCATCCCTGGCAGTGCCCAGGGCCAGGCTGGACACTGGGGCTGGAGCAGCCTGGCACAGTGGCAGTGTCCCTGCCATGGCAGGGTGGCACTGCAGGGGCTCTGGGGTCCCTTCCCACCCAGGCATCTCAGGATTCTCAGTGCCAGACTCCTCTGCATCCCCTCAGCTGCAGGAATGAACCATTCCCATTCTCACACTCCCAGGAACCTCTGGAAATCACGGGATTTAAGAGTTTTGTGATAATTTTAAACCCAAGGATGTTCCAATAGCCAGCAAAAATCCCCAAGCAATGCCCATCCCACCCCCAGGAGCCACCAGAATCCCCTCAAACAGGAATTTTACCTTTATTTCAGGGATATTGGCTGAAGGGAGAGAGGGAAGAGGGAGGGAGGGAGGGAGGAATGTGGGGGAGGGTCTGAGGGAAGGAGGGAACAGGAGGGAGAGGAGTTGGAGGGGAGCTGCAGGAGGGTGACAGTGACACGGAGCTGGGCACTCCTGCAGATGCTCCCTCATCTTCCTCTGCCAGGGACAGACAGAGGGCACCGGGATGGATCTGGGTCCTCCCAGCTGGATCCCTCACTGATTCCCTGCTCTCCCAGCTAGATCCCTCAGAGTCCCTGCTCTCCCAGCTGGATCTCGCACTGATTCCCTGCTCTCCCAGCTAGATCCCTCAGAGTCCCTGCTCTCCCAGCTGGATCTCGCACTGATTCCCTGCTCTCCCAGCTAGATCCCTCAGAGTCCCTGCTCTCCCAGCTGGATCTCGCACTGATTCCCTGCTCTCCCAGCTAGATCCCTCAGAGTCCCTGCTCTCCCAGCTGGATCTCGCACTGATTCCCTGCTCTCCCAGCTAGATCCCTCAGAGTCCCTGCTCTCCCAGCTGGACCCCTCACTGATTCCCTGCTCTCCCAGCTAGATCCCTCAGATTCCCTGCTCTCCCAGCTGGATCCCTCACTGATTCCCTGCTCTCCCAGATGGATCCCTCTGATTCCCTGCTCTCGCAGCTGGATCCCTCACTGATTCCCTGCTCTCCCAGCTGGACCCCTCACTGATTCCCTGCTCTCCCAGCTGGATCCCTCTGATTCCCTGCTCTCCCAGCTGGATCCCCCCTTGTCCCTGCTCTCCCAGCTGGATCCCTCACTGATTCCCTGCTCCAGGCTGTGCTCCCAGCTGGGTCCCACCCCATTCCTCTGCCCAGCTGGGTCCCCACCACCCCCGGGGTCCATTCCAGGTCACTCCATTCTGCAGGAGCAGAGGGAGAACAGGGATCCATCCCCTCAGCCTGAGCAGCGACGCCACAGCAGGAGGAGGCTCCACCTCCCTCTGGAGTTGTGGGAATGGCTCCAGGGAAAGTGTTGGAGCCACCCCTGCCATTCCAGAGGCATCCCTTGATTCAACACTTCCAAACTGGGAGCAGGGACTGGGCTCTCCCCTGGCTGAGCCAGCACTTTCATCCTTAAGGAGCGTTTCAAACATTCCTGGGACAAACTCTCCCATCAGGGCAGCACCTGGATCCTGCTGTTCCCAGTGGGAACGTCCCTGGATGGAGGGAACATCCCCCAGCTGTGGCCCCCTCCCAGCAGGGACAGGCTCTGCCCGGGGCACGTTTTCCCTGAGGATTTTTTTGAGGAGAAATTGGCAGCAAGGGCTGCACTGAGTGGAATCCAGGGAGTTTGGCTGCTGGCAGGACCAGGACAGGAGGAAAGGAGGGAAGTTCCATGTCCCTGTCCTCGTCCCTGGCAGTGCCACGAGTGGCTGATCCTTCCCAAGGCTCTCTGGGCAGGGCAGCACCAGGAGCTGCTCCCAAACCTGCTCCTGACTGGGCTCCAGGACCCCTGGGGATGTTAATCCAGACCTATTCCTGTCTCTGGGCCTAGCTTTAGCAGCCAGGATTTAATTCCCAAGGTGGGGCAGGAAAACAACACCCTCAGGATGGGAATCATCCACAGGGAGATCCTTTCTCCTTCCTAGAACCCCTGATAGCCCAGAGAGGATCTCAGCTGGATCCCCCCTTGTCCCTGCTCTCCCAGCTGGACCCCTCACTGATTCCCTGCTCCAGGCTGTGCTCCCAGCTGGGTCCCACCCCATTCCTCTGCCCAGCTGGGTCCCCACCACCCCCGGGGTCCATTCCAGGTCACTCCATTCTGCAGGAGCAGAGGGAGAACAGGGATCCATCCCCTCAGCCTGAGCAGCGACGCCACAGCAGGAGGAGGCTCCACCTCCCTCTGGAGTTGTGGGAATGGCTCCAGGGAAAGAGTTGGAGCCACCCCTGCCATTCCAGAGGCACCCCTTAATTCAACACTTCCAAACTGGGAGCAGGGACTGGGCTCTCCCCTGGCTGAGCCAGCACTTTCATCCTTAAGGAGCGTTTCAAACATTCCTGGGACAAACTCTCCCATCAGGGCAGCACCTGGATCCTGCTGCATCCCTCCCTGGATGGAGGGAACATCCCCCAGCTGTAGCCCCCTCCCAGCAGGGACAGGCTCTGCCCGGGGCACGTTTTCCCTGAGGATTTTTTTGAGGAGAAATTGGCAGCAAGGGCTGCACTGGCCAGAGTGGAATCCAGGGAGTTTGGCTGCTGGCAGGACCAGGACAGGAGGAAAGGAGGGAAGTTCCATGTCCCTGTCCTCGTCCCTGGCAGTGCCACGAGTGGCTGATCCTTCCCAAGGCTCTCTGGGCAGGGCAGCACCAGGAGCTGCTCCCAAACCTGCTCCTGACTGGGCTCCAGGACCCCTGGGGATGTTAATCCAGACCTATTCCTGTCTCTGGGCCTAGCTTTAGCAGCCAGGATTTAATTCCCAAGGTGGGGCAGGAAAACAACACCCTCAGGATGGGAATCATCCACAGGGAGATCCTTTCTCCTTCCTAGAACCCCTGATAGCCCAGAGAGGATCTCTGGGAAATAAGGAGAGCCTGAGCTCCTGGATGAGCCTGGAGCTGCATCCACTGGTTAAATCAGGCTCTGGAAAAGAGCCTTAGGGGAAAATGCCCAAGATTTCCTGCACTGAGCCCCATCCTCCTGAGCTTTCCATGGCCTGGTGCTGTTTCAGCTCCACCTAAAGTGCTTCCCACCTTCCCTTTCATCTCCTGAGTCACCAGCCAGGCTGGAGCTTGAAGATCCAAGTGAATTCCACTCGATGCCACGTCTGACAGGTAGGGGATTGCTTTTAAATCACCTTTAAAAAAACCTCAGCATCTTCAATTCCACGGTTTATCAAATCAAGTCTCAACTCGAAGCAAATTCCCACCAAAGGAGGCTTTGGGGCTGGAAAAGCTGGCACAACCTCACTGCAAATCTAAAAACTCCAACCGGAGCCCAAACCCTGCAGAGATGCGGGCGTGGCTGGGACGAGGTTTTGGTCAGTCCTCGGGAAGGAGCTCTTACGGAAAAGGGAATAAAAACCCACCCCTCATCTCTTCCCGTGGAGCCACCAGGAGCCGTGGGCCGAGCTCTTGGCGATGCTCAGCTTCTCCTCGGGGCTGAAGTGCAGGATGGCCAGGATGGCCGTGAGCGTCTGCTGCCGGCCCCGCGCGTCCGGCAGCGTCAGGAACCGGTACACCACGTTCTTCAGGTACTCCAGGTTGGCTCCCTCCCTGCTCTTGTCCCGGCAGCTCTTCTGGATCTCGCCCCGCAGCGCCGCCACCTCCTCCCGGTGCTTGTCCTCCTCGGCCAGGGCCCTGCCCTGGAGCTGGCGCAGCTGCGCCTCCAGCTGGTGCTTGTGCTTGCGCAGCGCCGCGATCTCCACCTCCTTGCGCGCCAGCTGCTCCGCGTACAGGAAGAAGGTGGGCTCGGAGGCGGAGCTCAGCTGCAGCGCCTGCGGCAGGATCTCCGAGGAGTCCCGGCCGGGAGCGTCCCGGCGGCTCTGGGGGCCGTGGGGCAGCGCGAGGGCGCGGAGCCGCTCCAGCTCCCGGTCCTTCTCGGCCAGCACGGCCAGCGCGCGGTCCCGCTGCTTGTGCATCTCCTCCTCCAGGCGCAGCGCCCGCTCCCGGAACTCCAGCTGGCACCGCTCCAGCTCCTGCCGGTGCAGCTGCTGCAGCTGCGACAGCTCCTGCTTCCCGGCCTCCAGCTCCTGCCGGCGCTGCTTCTCCGCGTCGTCCGCGGCCAGCTGCAGCAGCACGTGCTTGTCCCGGAGCTCCGCCAGCTGCTCCCGCGCCTCCTGCAGCTCCTTGGCCAGGCCCACGTCCTTGGCGGCCTTGCTCTTGAGCACCTGCTGCGCCCTCGCCTTGCAGCGCTCCAACTCCTCCTTGAGCTGCCTCAGCTCCTGCTGGCAGTGCCCCCCCGGGGCCTTGTCCCCGCCACCCGGGGACGGCTCCGGCTCCTCCGCCTCCGGGCCCTTCCCGGCGGCCTCCCGCAGCTTCTCCATCTTGTCCTTGAGCGCGCTCACGTCCGGGCTGGCCTCCTCCGCGGCCGCCTCGCCCAGGGAGCGGCTGGAGGCGGCGAGGGCCAAGGTCTTGTTCTCCAGGTCCAGCTGCACGACGCGGTCCTTGAGCCTCTGGATGGTGCCCTGGTCCCTCTGCTTGGCCTTCTCGTAGGTGCCCAGCAGCTCGGACGCCTGGGCCACCTGGGCCTCCAGCTCGGCCACGCGCCGCTCCTCCCGCTGCGAGCGCTGCCGCAGCTGCTCCTCGGCCTGGGCTGTCTGTGCGGGGACACACCTGGGGTCACACGGGGACCCTGCTCTGCTCCAAACCAAAAAGGGGCCCTCCCCACCCTGGGAATCCTGCCTGAGATACCTCCCTGTCCTGGCTTTTAGGGGATTTGTGTGTTTGGAATCCTGAAATGGCTGGGGAGAAAGGACCTCAGAGCCCCTGCAGTGCCACCCTGCCGTGGCAGGGACACTGCCACTGTGCCAGGCTGCTCCAGCCCCAGTGTCCAGCCTGGCCTTGGGCACTGCCAGGGATGCAGGGGCAGCCCCAGCTGCTCTGGGCACCCTGTGCCATTTATTTTGAACCTCCTGGAATCTGAGGGACTGGGAAGGGGAGTTTGTCCTACCCCAGCCCCACTCCCTGGATACGTGGCACAGAGAGCTTTTCCCCAGTTTGTCATCCCATCAATCCAAGCCAGGATGCTTTGGACTCAGAGACCAAAGGCGTGAGGGAATTCCGGGTGAGGGAATTTAGCTCCTGTAGCCCCAGTCCCTGGACACCACCCTCCCTGCCAGCACTCACCTTCTTCATCTCCTGCACCAGCTGCAGCTGGAAGTGGTTCTTGAGGCCGGCCACCTCCTCCTGCAGCTCCTGGACGCGCGGGTCCTCCTTGCCGTTCTCCTCCCGCAGCTCCCCGCGCAGCTCCTCCAGCTCCAGGCTCAGCTGCCGGGCCCGCTCCGCCTCGGCGCGCGCCTCCTCCAGCTCCCGCTTCATCCGCCGCCGCTCCGCCCGGTACGAGGCCTCGGTGCGCGACTTCTCCCGCGTCACCGTGGCCAGCGCGGCCGTCAGCGTGCCCAGCTGCGCCCGCAGCTGCCGCAGCCGCGGCTCCTCGCCCTCGGGGCCGCTCGGCTCCTCGGCCCCCTGGGGATGTGCTCTGTCCTCCTCCTCCTCCTCGCCGGCCGTCCCCGCGGTGTCCTCGCCGCGCTCCGAGCTCCGCTCGTCCGCGGAGTCGCCGGCGGCGGGAGGGGGCGGCGCCGGCTCCCCGTGGTGGGGCGCGGAGAGCGCCTTGAGGCTGGCCTGCAGCGCCTCCTTCTCCTGCAGCAGGCTCTTGTAGGCGCGGACCACGTCCTTGAGGCGCGCCTGGAAGCGCAGCAGCTGCTGCTTCTGCGTCTCGATGGTCTCCAGCAGCTCCTTCCTGCTGGGGCCGCCCCCGAAGTTCATCCCGAACTTCTCCATGGCGGGGCGCTCTGGGGGGGAAGCAGGGCGAGGACAAAGCGCACCTTTGGCATGGGAAGGAGCATCGCCCCGGGCCCAGCGGGACACCAAACGGGCGGCGAACGGCACAAACGCCACCCTGGCCGTGCCCTGCCCGGGACCGCCATCGGGAACCCCCCAGACCCACACCCTGACCCCCTCGGGACCCCCGCGCTGACCCCGCCAGGACAGGACCCTGAACTCCCCTCCAGGACCCCCTTGGGACCCCCTTCCTGACCCCGCCAGGACAGGACCCTGAACTCCCGTCCAGGACCCCCTTGGGACCCCCACACTGACCCTGCCAGGACAGGACCCTGAACTCCCCTCCAGGACCCCCTTCCTGACCCCCTCGGGACCCCCATGCTGACCCCCCCCGGGCCCTCCATTGTCACCTCCTCAGGACCACCCTGACCCCCACCCTGAGCCCTCAGGACCCTCCAGACTCCATCCCGACCCTCAGGGACACCGTGACCCCTCGGACACCACCCGGGTCCCTCACCGTCACCCCCTCGGGACCATCCCCACTCCCACCCCGATTCCTCCGGCCCCGCCATCCCCGGCCCCGCCATCCTCACCGCCCGGGCCCCCGGTGCCCCCTCAACTCCGGCCGGTTCCGCTGACGCCGCCACTTCCGCCGGAAGCTGCCGGAGGGGCGGGGCAAACGGACGCGTTACGGGCGAGGCGGTGCCACCCCAAATAAGGCGCTGTGTGGGCGTGGCCACGCTGCGGGGCGGGGCCGCGTGATCGCGCTGCTCGGGGACGTGGGCGTGGCTTCTGCCACAAGGGGCGTGGTCTCCGCGCGCCACGCGGAGCGCGGCGTGGGCGTGGCCCGTGGCGATGGGGGCGTGGTTTGATGACTTGGGGGCGTGGCCTGCCAGCGAGGGGCAGTGGTGTCCCAATGGGGCGTGGTCACAGATGTGGGCGTGGCCTGTGGCTGGGGCGTGGCCTTCGGCCCGCCACCGCACGGCGGTGACAGCCGGGAGGTCCCCTGTCCCTCCGTGTGTCCCCTGGAGTGCCCCGTGTCCCCCCGTGTCCCCCCCTGTCCCCTGGAGTGCCCCGTGTCCCCCCGTGTCCCCCCCTGTCCCCCCGTGTCCCCTGGAGTGCCCCGTGTCCCCCTGTGTCCTCCGAGCCCCCCGGGGAGCGCTGGGGAGGAGCTGGAGCCGCCCCTGGCAGTGCCACCTCGGCTGGGCTCTGTCGCCGCTGTCCCCTGCCGGGGGGACCCGGGGCTGCTCGTGGCGTGGCCGGAATCCCCCGGAGCCGCCGGGACAAATAAAAGTGGAGCCGAGCTGTTCAGGGTCCGTGAGCCCGGCACTGCCCTGTCCTCGGCCAGGGGCTGCGGCCAGCAAAACCCCGGCCTCCGCAGAGACCCCGGGACAAAACTTTGTCACCTGTGTGTGCCTTTGTCACCTGTTTGTACCTTCTGAGCCGACAGAGAAACGAACGGTCATTGGTTCTGAATGACATAAAAACCTCTTTCATTAATTAGCACTCTGTCTTCTGCAGGTGTTGAATCCTTCCTCGCCTTCTCCCAGGGCTGCTCCAGCTGCTCAAGCCCTGCCTGGTGCCGGCAGGGTCTGACCACTCTCACCTGTGTTGGTGCTCCGGGGCTGCCCCCAGACCATTCCATGGGGGTCTCTGTGACCCCGAGCTGCCCCTCCCCGCCACACCCCGCACATGGAACCGGCCCCTCTGTGACATCACCCCGGCCCGCTGGCACCGTGGGCAGCGCCAGGGCCGTGGGTGTCACCAGAGGTGACAGCTCCTCTCCGGCTCTGCCACCTGCGCTGGCACCGATGGCTTTGCTGGGGCTGCTCGTCCTGCTGGCCCTGGCCGGGCCCCTGGGGGCCACCTGGGACACCTGCAGGTCAGTGGCCCCGGGGGGCTCGGGGACACTCGGGGGCTTCCCTGGCACACCCTGGGCACAGAGGAGCCCCTCGGGGTCCCTGTCCCTGCTGTCCCCGAGCGGGGCACTGATGGCTTTGTGCTTCCAGAGGCACCTGCGGGCTGCGGCCCTTGGATTCCGACCACAGCTCTGCTGCTGGCACGGCCCATGTGGGTGGCAGCAGTGTCCCTGCAGGGGCCTGGCCCGGCATCGTCAGCA